CCATCAGATGGCTTGTTTGTTGTCTCCAAAAGGTCTGGGCAGTATTGTTTTTATTGTTTATATATTGGGGCATTTTATTTTTGTAAGCTACCAAGAGTCATTGGGAGTGAGTGGGCATCCAGAAAAAAAATACAAAGAAAGAAAAAAAGAAAGAAAGAAAGAAAAAAAGAAAAAAAGAAAGAAAGAAAGAAAGAAAGAAAGAAAGAAAGAAAGAAAGAAAGAAAGAAAGAAAGAAAGAAAGAAAGAAAGAAAGAAGAATGAACAGGGTTAGTTCATTGTATCAACTGCAGCTGCTTTGGATACTCCTATGGAAACCTGTGGATTTCAAGATTTTGGACTACAATACGCATCAGTCTTGGCTATCTGGTTGGGGTTGTTCAGAATGGAATCAAATAACATGTGCAAAATTATAGTTTTTCCATTCCTGCATTAGACAAATGTTCCAATAGAATGGCTTTGTGATTTCCCAGCATTCTAGACCAGTTCAGATGATTGATTTATGTGAAATATATATTATGGAAAAACTATATATTCAATCAATGTCTTTATTTGACAGATTAAATACAAAAGTGATCTGCAATGGCTCAAAGGTCTGGGCTGCTTCCTGTATGATACTCCGGATATGGTCCGTGCACGGCATTTACGCAAACTGTGGGTATGTCATTTCTCCCCAGAACCATGAATACTAGATTATTTTTTGATCTTAGTTGAAAGATAAGACTCAGTATAAGGCAAGATTTAATATTTTTAAAGTGGCATATAAGATCAGTATAAGATCAATTAATTAATTAATCAAGCATATATGCCACTTCAATCTCCATAATAAATGGCTTACAAATAAACCCATAATATAAATATATTTTAAACATAAGACAATATGAAACTGTACTGACATTCCATTGAAGCTCGGGAATCTTCCTATCTTAGCTTTCTTTTAATCTTCACTTTCTTACTTAATTTTGTGGGGCTAATGTTTGAAATCTGTTTTCCTTTCCAGTCTCATTATGTGTACACTGATGCTGCAAAGAAAGTTAGAGACAAATACTCTGTGGTTCTGGACACTCCTGTTTATAGAAAAGACCAGGAGCTAAAGACCCATCTTAGTGAGGTGAGTTCAATGTATGTATTTTTGTATCTATCAAATTTATTTGCTGCCTATCTCACCAGACATAACTGGCAGTTATTGGCAGACTTCAATCCAGGAAGCCCTCTCTGGCACATGCTCAGCAGCTGTCTAACAACTTTGATGTCAACACACAGTGGAAAGCCAAATGGGCTGCTGAACGCCCAGACACAGGCAATTACATAGACGACCCCACACAAAGGGTGCCAGGTTTTGACCTTCCTTGTCAGCATTGGTCAACTCTGAACAGGATCCGTACCCAACATGGTGTCTGGCAGGAGTTATTGTTTAAGTGGGGTCTTGTGCTCCTTGGCAAAATATCTACCACACTGTGTTTGAATGTCCATCAAAAGCTTACACTGGTCCAATGTCTGATTTTTTTCAACATAGAGCACCCTATTCTTGAATGGCTGGGTGGACTGAACATTAACATTTGAACTACTACCCTGTTTCCCTGAAAATAAGATCTCCCTGGATAATAAACCCAATCAGACTTTTGAGCGTATGCACTAAAATAACCCCCCCCAAATTACCCCTCCCCAAAAATAAGCCCTCCCCAGAAATATTGCAACAGAGCAGCAGACATGAGGTAACCACTTGCTGCCTCCGATACCTCAAAAATAATAAGACCTCCCCGAAAATAAGGCCAAGTGCTTATTTCGGGGGGGGGGATGTCAAAAGAAAATAAGACCCTGTCTTATTTTGGGGAAAACATGGTATAAGTCCATGTATTTGCCATACACTAAATAATAATAAAAAAATGTAGACAATTTGTTAGTTTTCCCACAATGAAAAGCCCTTTAAATTCAAAAGGAAAGCTCACCCCTAACAGAATAGTTGTTTTTTAAGGAACCAACTGAAGAAGAAGATTGGACATTCACTGTGGCAGACAACTGCCAATGAAAAATACAGTCAAGAGACAAGATTCTATTGATACTAATACAAATGTGAAATAGAATTAATGGTAGGACTACTTGCTAATTTTGTAAAGTGCAGAAAATTCTGCACCTTTTTTGGGTAGATATGTGTCAAGTGTGTCAAACGTGATCGTATCATGTGACGTCATGTGATGCATTGTGACTTTTTTTGCCATTGCGGAGCTGGAGTGGGTGTGGCTTGCACATGACGCATCCGGCCTGCAGGCCGTCAGTTTGACACCCCTGATACATTATATGTAATCAGGGGAATCTGTATGCAATCGTGCTTTCAGCATAACAAACCGCATACATTGTAGTTTAGGCTGAGAAGAAGTGCCAACAAAGTTGAATACTTTTCATAGCAGGTAAAAAATAGAAGACTAGGGGAATAAGGACAAGAGCAGAAACAAACCCATTAGATCACAGGTGGGTTCCTACTGGTTCGGCCCGGTTTGGCTGAATCGATAGTGGTATGGTGGCCTGGGTTGCTGGAACCGGCAGCGACCCAGGCCTATCACACCCTCCAAACCAATTCCCCGGTCACCGCCGCCATCTTGTTTTTTAGTTCTGCGCATGCACAAAACAATTTTAATTGAACTGCACATGCGCTCACACAAGAGCAAACCGGCAGTAAAGCCACCCAGAACCCACCCCTGCATCAGATTAAGTATTGGTTCTATGAGGAATCTATGACTTTGGCAACTGTAGGGGCAGGGGAAACCACGAGCTTACTGAAGGGAAAATAACCAAGAGTCTACTAGAAGAGCAAACTCATGCTCAATGACAAATAGCATAGACAATCAGGCCATCATCTCCTTGGGCCTCCCCTCCTTTTCCATCATAGGCTTTGATAGTTATTATTGGGAAATTATGATCTTATAAATGAATCAATTTAGTTTTGTCCAAATTAAAGCCAACAATTGGTTATAATAGACACATGCTTGCAAAAGTCAAGGAATCTTAGGTCATTTGCTTTGAAGTTAATTCTTATAAGCCAAGTTCAAGGATGAAGGAAATCGGCTACTGTTCCATACTGTTTGCAAGTAAGTGCTGCACAATATCTTTGGGCTAAAGGATCTTCTTTCTATTGTAGTCAATGGCACAAGTGAGGTTAGTGCAAGACATTTCCAATAATATCCTGCCCCAAAATGAAGGTGAAAATTATTTTGATAACTTTAGACAGAAATATTGAGCAACGCTTCATTCTAGGAAAAAAGGATTTTCAATGATAAGTTAAATGTTCTACCTTTACTCCAAATCAACTACTTTAAGGGGTTACTTTGTTTTTCTTTAAAGATGGGCATGATTATATGTTTGGGGTTGTCTCACAGTATCATATTCATATAATCCTTTCCAGATTGTATACAGAGCTGCAGGTAAAGAGCAAAAGACTAAGTACACATCAATCCTTGATACACCAGATATCAATAGAGCCAAAAGGGGACAAAAACTGCAGAGCCAGGTATGTACATGTGTAGCTGCTGGTATGAAAGAATTGTGCAACATTTTTTAATTACGTTTAATTTTGTAGTGTTGAGAAACATTGTGCCATCTCCTTTCATATTTTTGATTGTTTATTAAAACATTTAAAGGAAGAGGATAAATAACTGCATAAAAGAAAAAGAAAAATTCATAGAAGAAAAAAAATATGGCAAATAAGCAAGATATTTACAATTTTGAAATTAATTGTTTCCTTAATTAATTAAAGGTACAGAATTGTTTATTATGGCAACTTAAGAAATACATAGTAGTCTTAATTAAACTCTATGCATAATATTGATAATATCACTATTTGTAATTATTTTTTTAAAAAGAAGCTAAAGAAAAAAAGAAAAAAATTAAAAGCATGAAAATAGCATTGCTCAATGATTAACTCTCTTCATATTAATAGCATAGATTTAAGAGTTTTTCCTCTGCCAACTTAAATCATGACAATAAAAGAAAGTAGTGCAGTCTCATAAACCTCCAATGTAATTTAATGAAAACTCTGTCAAGCACACATATAACTCTGAGGTGTTTTTCCAAGTAATAAGACATTTCCTCCCCCCCACCCCCCACTTAGCCAGGAATATGCAGGCAATTTTCCTTTTGTAAATCTGTGCTGTTGGAATTTCTGCCAAGTAACTCTGACCTACTCAGCTCATCGGAAAGGATATATTAAGAGCTCTTCTCCTGCCATTGTTATGTGCTTTGTAATTGTGCAAATTACAGTAACAAATGGTTTCCTGTGCATGTAATTATTGAGTCAGCTTAGTGGAATCTTCAGGTCTTTTCCACCTCCAAGAATTCTCTTTGTCTTAATTCCAACTCAGTTCTGATCTGTCTTCTATTGTTACATTCTTTCCTTTGCAAAAGCTTATGCCCAATATTTCCTCCTTTTCCTCCTCCTTTTCCTTTTCCTCCTCTTCCTCCTTATATCACCATCTTCTTCCTCCTCCTCCTCCTCCTCCTCCTCCTCCTCCTCCATCTTGTATACTTTTCTCACATTCTGAACTACTAGGCTATATATGGCTATTGTTCTAATTGCACCATAGCTGTACTGTTTTAATAATATAGTTATTAATTCATCACCGATTTAAAGCCACAAACATCCAACTAGAAGGCATTTGTCTTTTACCTCCTTTGATTATTTGAAAGAAATTGAAAAAATAAATAAATCTTAAAGTTGGATACTGTGCTAAATTTTGGTAACCAGAGCTGAGTTGATATGAGTGCAGGTTGTTTTGCAATTTAACTTTTCTTATTACTATACTTTGAGTGTACTGGACATGGATCATTTTTTGACGCATTTGGCTAGTATTTCTTGTTAGAAGCTTGTCGTAGAAAACTCTACCAGGCAATAATCCAACTGGAGTAATGATTGATTTTATTAATTGATTTAGTTCATTGCAGTTCCCTCTGTATATATATATGTGTGTACATATATACATGCATTTTTTCTTCAGGATGTTTGGGGTTTCTAGTTATATTTTATTGGTATTTTTTGTACACTGCGTGGAGGGCCTTATACGTTTAGTTAATTATTATGAGTGTATATACAGTATATAATACAGCACAAATATTTATCATGAGAAATATCCCAGCCATTATTTGAAGGGTTTTTGCTTGGTTGTAAAGCATATTTCTTCCTACAAAAAGCAGTAGCTCTGATCGTCAGAGATCCCTGATTTAAAAAATGCCTGTAGGTAAACATGAACTGACACTTAAGAGCAAAAAGACCAAGGATATAAGTATGCAAAATTCAATGGAAGAAGAAGTCTAGGTTTTTAGATGTACATGAAACCTCTCTGATCTGTGACAACTTTATATTCTTCTACAGTACTTGTATGTTGAACTCGCCACCAAGGAAAGACCACATCACCATGCTGGAGACCAGACACCTGCCTTAAAACTTGCTAAGCATGTGAAGGACTTTGCCAGTGAGGTAAAAGTTGCAACCCTTTGGGTTTGTCTTGGAGAGACGGATAAACATCTGGTTCTCCTAAAAAGCAACTCTTCAGGCCGTGCTCACTGTGATACTCAAGGTCCCACTTTTATACTTTAGCCTCTGTAGAACACAAGTCTCAATATTAACCATACTTTTCCTCCCCTCTCACTTCTGTTTCTTTAGAAAAAATACAGATCACTCTATGACAAACTAAAGGATAAATATGTAACAGTCCCAGATACACCAATCCTCATCAGAGCTAAGAAGGCTTATCTGAATGCCAGTGATGTAAGTGTGTGACAAAAAGAGATACATTTTTAGATAATACATGCTTTCATGCTATAAATATTTAATTGGAGATAATCAATTCTTAATATGTGGCTGTTCGTGATGAAATGTTAAATGAATACAAAAATTATTTAGCAGATGAAATAATAATTACCATATTTTTCAAACTATAAGATGCACCGGAGTATAAGATGCACCAAGATTTTGAAGAGGTAAATTTTTTTTAAAAGGTTTTGCCGTCCCCTGCCCCCAGGAGCACTCTGCAGACCTCCCAAACCCTCTACACACCCTGTTTTTTGCAAAAAAACAGGGTGTGCAGAGAGTTTGGAAGGCCTGCAGAATGCTCCTGGGGACTAGGGAAGGCAAGAACACCCCCGTCTTTGTGAAAAATGGACCCGTTTTCACTCGTTTTTGCCCTTCCCAGCCCCCAGGAGCACTTTGCAGGTGTCTCAAACTCTCTGTGCATCCATTTTTGCGAAAAACAGAATGTGCAAGGGGGGGGGGGAGGTGTCAGAAGGCCAAAAATGCTGTATTCAGTGTATAAGACGCACCCAGATTTTCACCCTCTTTTTTGGGGTGGGGTGGGGGAGTTGTGCCTTATGCACTGAAAAATATGGTACCTGAATAGGGATGAAAGTGAATTGTTGCAGAAAACCAGGATTATTTAGAATGTACATTTGCATTTTTTATAATTGGATATCTATCTATCTATCTATCTATCTATCTATCTATCTATCTATCTATCTTTCTTTCTTTCTTTCTTTCTATCTATCTATCCCTTCATCTAAAAAAAAAGAATGAAGTAAACAAAAGTATTGTGTAAATTGGAAGGAAAGAAAGATTTGCATTTGCAGTTAAAACTACATTAAATATACGGAAAATTAAGCTGTCAGAATATAATTGGATAATATTGTGTTCAGGTTGGGATTTGTGCCTATTTTTGTCACTGCAAAAGCTAAACAAGTGAAGATAATGTCTGATTCATCCCACATTAGAAGATATAATTCAAGACTATCTCATTAATGACATAGAAATGCATTTCAAACAAATATCTTCTTTTATTTTTTAAACCAGCTGCGCTACAAAGAAACATTTGAGCGAGCAAAGGGTAAATACCACACTGTAAAGGATGCCTTAGATATTGTCTATCACCGCAAAGTCACTGATGATATCAGCAAAGTAAGTATATGGCTTCTTAAACATGCAATTCTGCCCGACTATAAAACATTCTCAATCTCCATTTAACTGTAAAACCTCCATTTTACAGGGCTTTGTCTTTAAAAGGGTCCAATTGTCCCCCATCCCTCCCACCCACCCACCCAGCCACAGGCAAATGTAATTGTCATTAGGGATCATTACATCAAATTGGGGTTTGGGGAGCTTCCATTAGATTTAGAATACTGCATCAGAGCGTAGATAAGATCTTAAAAAGCAGTAACATCACCTTGCCAACAAAGATCCATATTGCCAAAGCCATGGTTTTCCAAGTAGTAATATATGGCTTGGAGAGTTGGACCATAAGGAAGGCTGAGCGCCAAACAATTGGTGCTCTGAAATTGTGGTGCTAGAGAAGACTCTTGAGAGTCCCTTGAAATCAATGATATGAAATCAGTCCATCCTAAAGAAAATCAATCCTTCCTGTTCTTTGGAAAGGCAGAGACTGAAACTGAAGTCTAAATACTTTGGCCACCAAATGAGAAGACTCTGATGTTGGGTAATATTGAAGGCAAAAGGTGAATGAGGATGAGTTAGTGCCATTAGTGAAATGAACATGGATTTGGGCAAACTCTGGGAACAATGGAGGACAGGGGAACCTGGCAGGCTATGGTCCATGGGGTCACGAAGAGTCAAGTACAACTTAGTGATTGAGTAACAACAACTGTATTGGAAGTTACTTAGCACTGCTTATTTTAATTGTCTTAATTTTGTGATGGCATTACGGACATCCTCACCAGTCTGGTTGGGGGTATGGATTTGGTATTCCACAATGCTTCATTTGTCCACCCCACTTCTAGTTTAGTTTTGCTGAAAGAAAGAAATTTCAAGCAACAGAAGTGATTTGTGCCCCCTCCTGGTACTTCCGTCCAGTGCATATTTTTCTTAATCTAGATTGCCTGCATAAAGCAGCTCAGTTTTGTGGATATGTTCTCCTAATAATCTGCTGCGATTGGAAATCGATTTATTAGGGAGCAGGTACCATTGCATTTAGTGGGGCTTTCTTGTGAAAAAACATATATACATTCTGAGAGTGCATTGTGTTTTTTGTTAATTTAATATTATTTATTCATTGTTTGCAAATTCTTTTTTTTAAAGGTGAAATATAAAGAAAAGTACATGAGTGAATTAGGATTTTGGAGATCTATTCCAGACCGGCCAGAACACTACCACCATCGTGCAGTCACCGATGCAGTTAGTACTGTGAGTATTAATTTATTTTGATCACTGGCATCTTGCACATAAATAAGCCTTCCAGAGCAATAGGCATGAGAAAATCTAGGGTGGTTAATTTATGATGCAATTCAAAAGTGGATGATTTTATATTTTTGCTCATACGCTGGAGAGCTTAGCAGTCATAATGCCACCTGCAAGATTACCAGTAGACTTTCGACTGCATTTTGTTTATGGTCTCAGAATTTAAAATCTGTCAAAACTTCTAAGGTCCATGATAAAGTGTAGTTAAAAGCAAAGGAATAAATTTTTTTAATTAATGGTTTATATGATAGGTGGAATTGAATGGAGAAGAACAGACTCGGGCTCTACTCTGCCAGAATTGAGCAGATGTAAATATTTAAAGGACTTTTCATTGGAGGTTATTTTAGGTTTTCAGTTCTCGTTCAAAGAGTTGCCAAGAGGACTTTGGCATAGATTCAGTTTACATGCCAAATGAAAAAATATACTTCTTTTACCTAAAATCTGCTAAACAGAGTTGAACAATTTAACTGTCTGGTTAAATTAGAGTTTTGAAATTACTTCTTATAGTTAAGTTTTCTCTTACTACTTTGTTTTTGCAGGTTAAATATAAGGAAGATTTAACATGGCTCAAAGGCATTGGATGCTACGCATGGGATACTCCTGATTTTGTCCTCGCAGGAAAGAATAAAGCTCTCTATAGTCCAGTACGTGCATTATTTGTTCCTGTTTAAAGTTGCGATAGGTTGTTTCATAAGGAAGATCTGATTTAGTTTGATAGCAGCAGGATTCTGCATACACAAGGGGAAAGATCTTTGATACATTATTTAGAAATCAATTTAATAATTTTCTTCCTAGTAAACTGGCACAGGTTTGCCTAATGGATTTTTTTTTAGCAACATAAAATTTTACCAGTTTCTACAATACTGGGTCAGGTAATCCACGAGTTACAACCACAATTGGGATCAGGATTTCTGTTGCTACACAAGATACTTGCTAAGTGACTTGCACTCGATTCTACAGCCCTTTTTGCCATGGTTGTTAGATAAATCATTGGAATTGTTCAGTGATTCTAGTCTCCCCCATTTACTTTGTTAGTGTGAAGCCAGCTGAGAAAGCGCAAATGGCTATCACATGTGCTTGTGATGCTGCAACTGTTGTAAATACAAGCTGGTTGTCAAGAACCGAAATTGTGATCATGAGACCATGGAAATGCTGCAACAGTCATAGGTGCAAGGACTGGTTGCAAGTCATATTTTTCAGTGCCATTGTAACTTTGAATGGTCGCTTAATGAATGGTTGTAAGTCAAGGACTACTTGAAATAAATGGGTTGCGTTTTACATAGTATAATAGTTAAAACGTTGGACTGTGACTTGGAAGACCTATGTTCAAATCCATCCTCAATCACAGAGGCTCATTTGGTGACTTTGGGGTAGACACAATCAGCCCAACTTATCTCACAAGATTTTTGTTGTGGGAGAAAATTGGAGGAAAGACAGCAAAGTCAATACCTTGACTCTCTGGAGGAAGGATGGGATATCAATCTAATAAAGAAATAATAATTTTCTGTGAGCCACCCAAATCATGGTGGAATCAGGGAATCTATAAATCTGGTAAATAAGTAAGTAAAAATATCACACAGTTCTGTTTTGGGATGCAGCAGACTAACAAGTGTCCCAGGCTGAAAACATTCAAGGAATGATTTACTGATGTCTCATTTTCATTAGTAATTGTGAAAAGACTGCAGTGTTTTACACATTTATATTTGATCAGTGTTTGATACTGGCTTTTGATTCTTTTAATTGTATCCTTATAACTGTTGTCTATTTGTTTTCAATAGTATAAGTACAAGGAAATAAATGAAAAGACAAAATCCAAGTTCAATCATGTTGTGGACACACCAATTAACAGACATTTTAAACATGCTACTCGGTTGATGGATGCGGTAAGTAGATTAAAAGACTCTTGTAATATAGGAATTGCCCACAACAATTTCACTAAATCTTCCTCAGCACATTAAATTCTTTTGTACTCTCAATGTGCTTAACTAGGTCAGGAAGATTAGTTGGCTGAGAAACTTAAAAAACAAACAAACCTGAATGAATTAACTAATTTATAAGTTAACTAAGAGTGGTTGTGGCACAAGGTTGATTCAGTCTTCCATCCTTCTGGAGTGAGTAAAATAAGGACCCAGATTGTTGGGGACAATATGATGACTCTGTAAACTATTTAGAAAGGGTTGACAAGCTCTATGAAGTGATATATAAATCTAAGTGCTATTTCTATTGTTAATCCTCAGAAGGTTAAATATAGCTCAAAACTAATCTACTCATGCCCCAAATAAATTCCAATCTCCAGTCAGACTTTCATCTCATAGAGATATAGAGGTTCAGAGAATTAATACATTTTACCTACCCAGTTCTTCAAGGTAGTTGGAGAAAAGGATAGCTAAACAAGCAAGTATCTTCATTTCAGACCTTGCTCCCAATATCTAGCAGCATAGAATGCACATCTTAAGCACTGGTTGGCAGCAATACCCAAATCGTACCAACAGTTAATTGCCTGGACAAAGGAAAGATGCTACAAAGCCTTCTTAAAGGTACTTTAAGAAGGTGATTTGTGGCGGGAGGGAGTCCGGTTAGGGTAAGATAAGTGTACACTGCTACAATCACCCATAAAGAGATTTGACTGGATTAGAAGTTGACTAACGATTTTGTGAAAGGGACTAGTGTTCTAAAAACAAGTAGGAATAAATAGCAATATCTAGAGAGCTTAGATGAAATAATATCTTCAAGATTCCTTGATTGGCGTCACATGCATAGAAATAAGGTTAAGAAGGTGCATGAAAAACACACAATGAATTTTCTTTAAAGAAATCCTGGACATATGAGATTTGGTATGAAAAGAGCTTGAGGTTTCTTTGTGATAGTGCCCTATTTTGTTTTATAAAAGTAAATCCAACCATAAAAAACTAACTAGTTTATATTAAGATGCAACTTAAAGAGAATTGGACGTGTGGAAGGAAGGAAGAAAGTTAAGAAATTTGGGAACAGTAGTAGGATCTCCCTAAGAAGTCAACTTGGAAGATGTGAATATCCAACCACAAGCTAGATATTCTCATATTTGATATAAAATAATGTTTGAATCAATCAGAAAAATTTTACGCATATAAGGAATAGAAAATGATTTTATAAACTCCTATAATAATAATAATAATAATAATAATAATAATAATAATTGTTTAACACAGAGAAAATGAGAATTCACCTCGTTTCCAAGATGCATCTATGTTTTAGGGTCACTTTATTTCTGCTGAATACATAATTTTTCTTTTGCTTGATATATAAATCAAGTTAATTTTCCAACATTTGCAGCTATGAAGTAAGTATATTTCAAGTCAATCTGATACAGGCCAGCAAAATTAATTGGTGCTGTATGGTTTAAGTCCAGATTATTAGTTTGGACCTATATAACAAGCATTTATATATTTTGAAATGCATATATATATATATATATATATA